TTCTTATCTCCATGTTACGGCTATGTAAAGCTTTGTCTCACGTCGAGTTCATGCCGATCAAAGTGTTCAATCTTTGCTTCAGCAATCTTCAGCAGGCTTCTTCAGTCTCCCAAGTTGTATGACCCTGGGATAGGCTTAAGCTGTTAAGGGTCCTGCGAGGAGCGGGTTTGTTATAAGTCATAGGTTGGCACTGCCATTGCATCCTCTACGCCGGAAAATGATGGCAGGCGCGTGGCAGAGATGCAAAGAATGCTCAAGTCAGCTTGCCGCGATGCCTTTGCCTTAAATTCCAGCATGGAGACGAGAGCTCGCTTGTCTTCTGACTTGGGCAAGTTTCCTTGTTGAGGCTGCTTCTTTGACTGAGCAAGCGGACGCCCTGAATATGGCTGCTATGACTGTTTGCCCAGAGGAGTCTGGCAAATCTGTGAAGGCTGCCCGAGTGTCATTCGCAACGGCTCCTGCAGCTCATGGCTTGCACATGCGCAGGCTCACGTGCTTCAGCCAGCAGCTCAAGCATCGCAACCGGCAGAAGCAAAGCCGCTAGCAGCCCAGTCATGCCCGCAGCAGCCCGTTCCCGCAGACGAGGGCGCTGGCAGGCAAGGCCGTTGTGCATGTCTGCCCCTGAGATCATGTCTATTGAGCACTTAAGCTTGTGCAGTTATCCTCCGGAGCCAAGCCTTCAGACTGGCCCTGCGCAAGGTGCACCGGGTCGTTGCGTTCGTTGGTAGCCTTTGTACAAAGTTTGTCGTTCTTCCTGCAGGACCAGATGCAGATACTCCGCAGGAGGCTGGCCAGAGCGCTGCACAAGCGCCACGCGCACATACAGCCCCCCTTCCGAAGCCGACTGTGCCCCAAGCCCGGGCCGCTGATGCTCATGATGCGTGCTCTGGGCCACGGTCGCAAGGGCACGTTATAGGAGCCGTGGGCTCCCCACCGTACCCCCAAGGAAAGCTGTGACAGACGCGCGTTTTCGCATTCTCCTTCGTGCGCGCCGGGCCTGTGGAGAAACGGAGGTGTCAGAAAACCAAGTCGGCGGTGCTTGCACCCTACCAGGGTTTTACCTCGGAGGCAAGGTGAGTGACCAGGTGTATGCGCAATTGCTATGATAAAGGGATTGATAGGGTTTGGGTTTTCGCCGCTGGCGCTGCCTGATTTAAGGGCTGACACAGCGGCAGCCTGCCTAGGGGTGCCCAGGAGGGGGGTCGGGTGATGGAGCCCAAACGCGTGGCTAGGCGAGGATTGCAAGAAAGGAGGGCGTTCGGCGCAAGTGGGAGAGCCTATGGTGAGGCCTGCAAGAAAAGCTATTGTAGGGGTCCAGCTTCTTGACGCCGACCAAGGGGATGGGCGGATACTAAATTTTAAACAGTATCAACATAATATGTGTTTCGATGTGTATATGTATACATATATATATAGAAAGTTACGCATGTATGTATGTATGCATGCATGCATGTACTGTCTGTATCCTCTCTCTCTCTCTCTCCTGTCGCTCTCTCTCTCTCTCTGATTTCTCTCAATCTCTCATGCTCTCTCTCTCTCTCTCTGTCTTTGTTTCTTACTTTCTTTCAGTTTCCCTCTCCCTCTATTTCTCCCTCCTCCCCTTGCCTTGCATTGCCAACATGCATCTGAGCTTACATACATACATACATGTACGAGAATGGAAATTTCCTGTACTAGACAGGATAATGCATAGACTAGAGCAGGAGACTGCAAAACAATCAAACGACGATTGATTTACGTTCGAAGGAACAGCTTCACGCAAAACACATCCGTAACAACTTAATTACTTTCATTCTTGTTTGCAATTTGCAATCGTGCCTGTGGATCATAGATCGAGGCCCTTCTGGACCAGGTCCGACATGACGGGAGATCTATGGTGTGTGCTGGGGGGGGGGGGGGGGGGGGTGGAGAACCGCACTTGGTGCCCTCCTGGTCCCTCCCCCATTTTGGGTGAGTGGGTGGGGGGCACCTTCCGACTAAACGACCAACGAAGCCCGTTGCGTTCGCGGGGCGTGCGTTCCTTTTGAATGAAACCCTGCCAGTGGTTAAGAAAAGATGTGTGCTATGGCTTTGGTACGGGCTGAGGCTGGATTTGCGTGGCCGATGCTCCCAAGTTATGCCTACGCGCTATGGGGAAACGATATTCTCACTTTCCCACCTGCGACTTCGACCTTACACAGACGAGTAAAAGCCTGCTTCACATGACTTGGGAAGGTTCCTTGCATCAAAGCGCGTTGTGTCTGTCATTGAGTCGCGTCGTGGCTATCATCATCCACCCAATGACGCCAGCAGGTTTGTCACTTCCCCTCTCTCTTTGTCTCTGTAGGGTGCTTTGTCTCCTCGCTCCGGCGCTCTACCGTCAAGTTTGATTCGCCTGTGCAGGTCTCGCAAGCAGTAGTACATCAAGAGGAAATTACCAACGTCTCAAATGAGGCTGGCGCTACCTTGCTCTTTGCCTGTTGTGCCTTTCTCCTCAGCGGCAGCTTCTTCTTCTTCTTCCTCTTCTTCCTCTTCTTCCTCTTCTTCTTCCTCGGCGGTGTTTGAGATCTGCGAGTTCAGGTTTTGCGCCTACGTTTGCTGAAGAGCCAACACGAGGATGCCTGGCTTGAGCCACTTCTTGTGAACTCAGCTCGACGTTGACAAAGCTGTGCCAACAGTTTTCCGGTCTCGTAATCGACCTCAAGGCAGAAATGGAATCGCACCCATGCAGCAGAATGCCAGACCGAGAAGTTTTGTTGCCCATAGAGCCCCTTAGAGCTGCCTTGGTTGCTGAATGTTGCTGAGCATACTGTGCACCGATAGTCAGATAGTCAAATAGCATTCAAGCAGTGCAACCTGTCAATGTCAAACACCTCGCCATGTCAGCGAAAGCAAAATCGAAAGCAAAGGCTCGATGCTTGATCGGTTTGGGAGTTGTGCAGCGCCGATAGAAAACAATGTGCATGTGCCCGTGAGTCCGTGAGCTCAGGGAAAAGTCAAGCCCGAGGAAGACAAGGGCGTGGCCAAGAATGAAAGAGCCGTGACCTTGGTCACTTGCGGTCGAGCCAATCTCTCTCACAGTGCGCTAATGCGTGGCAATGTTGCTTGTGGCTATGTCACGCCCGTGACCACTTAGGCTTTGAAAGGTGGCTATCGGACAGTGCAGGCAGAAATGGCGTTTGCATGTCTTTGTATGTGGGTAAACATGTTAACACTGTCGTTGACTGAGCCGTGTCTGCAGCTTCAGCTCAGGGACGGGATGATGCTGCTTACTGGACTCCGAAAAAATGCTTGTCGTTTCGAGCATGTGGTACGGAATCCTTGGTCAATCCTTGGTCTGTAGTGGTTTCTTCGGCGTAAACGGACGCACACTGCAGGCTTCATTGCTGCCTGTAAGCAGTGCTGAAGCATGCTGAAAACCAGTATCGCTTGAGGGGGCGATGTAGCGTAGTGGTCTGGAGGTGGATAATGGCGCCTCCCGTCCTGGAAAGGCCGGGAGCCGAGATGTCTGCGTGTTTCGGTCACTGTATTCCGTTGTGCACTTCTGTGTGGAAAGCAGGAAGTACAGCCTGACAAGGATGGTCAAGAAGGCACTTGCTTTCAGTTCAATTTCATGTAGATTCTCTTGTTATCGTTTCCCTGGTTTGCGCGCCAGGCCGGCCGAATCAGGACAAGCCGGTGATGTTTCGTGAACATCTGAACCGGTCTTTGAGACTTGCAGTGGAGTAATGGCAGAGATGGCTTTACTCTGCAGGACTCGCAGGCCGAGGCCAGACCTGGGTGTCCTTTCTGGAAGCCCTTCTTCTCATTCAGCGACCAGTGACTACACCGATTTCTATTTATTTCCATTCGCTCAAGAGGGCATCACGAGGGTATTGAAATGTTCTCCTCCTCTGGACACACGTGGCGAAGAACACTAAGAACAGGTGGACCTCCCAGTCACGGACAAGTTGCCCTTCAACATCTTTGTTTTGGCTACGACGCAAGGGACCTTTTGCACCAGACGATCCTGTATGCTCGAGTATGTGCACCTGTCTTGAGGTTCCTGAACATTCTCGTGATAGGACTGGAGCAGGACACATCTGTTGCTAGGGGTTCTACTCCATGCCAGACCATGAGTGAAGAGGCGATGCGGATGTTTATGTTGACGGCCCATTATAGGCAGTCGCCAACCTGACTTAGTACTAGCAGCGGGGCCTCCTTGATTCTCACATTCTTTCAGGCCTCATGCAGCCGGAGGGCACGCAGTCAAAGACGTCGTCGTTGCATAACAATACCATACACCTGTCAAGAAGCGGAAGCCTCCAGAAGAATGACACGTCCTAACCTTCGAGTGCTTGAAGCAGACTGTAAGACTGCAGTCGCTGCAAATCACATTGTGTCAAGCCCTGACGTTCACTGCATATGCATGATCGAAGCAACCAAAGAAGCCACAACCAGCTTGAGGATCTTAATGAGGACGGCTCTGGCATCATCTGGCCGTATGCCGAGTGTTCATAGACGTACATCGTGTGACGTTGTACAGCGTGGGAGTATGTGTCAGGTTTGTTTTTGAGAGTCTCTTCGTTGTCTTGTTTGTTGTCGAGCTCGTCATCAGATGGTGGTCCTTGAAGAGGCGCAGCATTGCTTTGACATGGTGAAATGCTTTCTTGCTTTCGGATGGAATTTTGGCAGTTTTGGATAGTGAGCAGAAGTCTTGGATCGATTTGTATTTCTGCCATGATTGACCAGGCGCCTGGAAACATCTCGGGGAGTGGGGTCGATTGTAGTTTGTGGGTTAGGATGTCTGATTGGGGACCCAAACGGCGAGGGCGGAGGATGGCTGGGGAAAAGCGGAACGAGCCCATACATGGTGCAATGCATCGCTTTCATCGCAGCTGTCTCGTTCTTTGTTGCGTTCAGGTGCCACTGGTGGCACTGGCAGTGCTTCTTGTGCATTGTACATCTCTCCTTGAATTGAGCTTCCGAAGTGCCACCTTCAGACCGACAGGCGGTCAACCTTCTTCCAGGATGGCTGGAACATGTGTGACGTCCTCGCCGCGCTCTTTGCTTGCTGGGTATTCCATTGCAGCTTGCAGCTGCTTCTTCAATGATTGAACAGTCGTTTGCAGAAGCAGAAGCAAGTCGGCAAAAGTGGACTGCAGCTCGTCCTGGCCGCCGCCGTGGACTGCTTTGTGCTTGGTCCTATTGGAATTGGGGGCCAGGCGGGGGACATTTCCTATGTTGCCTGGATGAGGCTAGACTGATAGGTTCCGGTCGGATCCAGTAGGCACGGTTAGGTCTTAGATTTGACTGTTTCGATTCGTGCTGCTCAGATTCGCTTCTTCACGGTGCTTCGCGCGCCTGAGGCCTAGCATCGAGGAGTAACTCATAGTCATGGTAGTTTTCTTAGGCCTCTTCGGAATGTAGGAACAAAGGCTTCAGAATTCGCTTCCCGTGCAGTACGCGGACGACGGCTGTGCAATATGAAATTTTAACATGCGTAGTTTGACACGGACAGGTTTGTGGTATTAGACCGTCCAGCTTTGTGTTCAGGAATTTGCTCTACTAGCATCACATGTGTCCTGAATTAACAATCTGCATTAGTCGTTCGTCTGCAAAGTGGCTTCAAGACACAAGTGAATGGCTCATATAGAGCATCTGGAGCCGAGGGTGGTGTTTCTTGCGCCTTTCCCAGCCGAGGCTGCGAGTCATACGCTTTGTTCGCCTCGCCTGTGCCTCGGGTTTGCTCATCGACTGAGCTGGGCTCGGTCAAAAGCAGCCCGACACTGCTGATCTTTTGTTTAGTCCTCCGGTGGCTTGGAGGTTCGAATGTTTTCCGCTTTCCGAGAGCTGTGGCTGCTCGTGGGGGGTGTTTCGCTCAGCATGAATAAGCGGCGAAGTTGTCCCAAAGTGCCAACATGTGCAGCAGATCTGAGGCCTCACTAATTCCGTGAAGGCTCTGTCGTACGAGTCTCAGATTGTCAGCTGACTGGCTATCATCTTTGTAAGATCCCATCGTTCGCTTGACTGTCCGCTCTTGTTGCAAGGTGGGTGGGTCTTGTGGTGTTCATGCTTATCTACGTCGCCAGCTTGGCTCACTCGGTGGTGTGGTGATGCACTTTGAAAAAGCAGAGGCTTCTTGCAAATCTGCGAACAAGGGTGCAAGTGGTCAAGGTCAGCAGCGGTGACAGCAACAACTGTGGGGTCATACCTGGTAAAAGAGCAGGACAAACCCTTTCCAATCGTCCCTGAGTTTTGGTATGGCATTTCCCGATGGCGTGAGAAACCCTGCATTACGCCTCAAAAGCCCTGATAACAAGCAAACTTGTGCCTGAAGCCCAAAGTGCCATAGAAAGGCCCTGGCCCACGGCCTCAAGGAGGGCTGCTACAATGTAAGTTTTTTTGATCATTTTTCCAGCACGAATCACGAGAGGGTTTCCACAAGTGGTTGTCCCCTGTTTCTACGCTTCCCTCCCCCCCACATGAGCTACGTAAGCCAACACTCATGATGAGTCCCGTGGCAAATGAAGCAGATTTCTGGTCAGACCTCTTCGAGGCGGCTTTGGGACAGCAAATCTTGTCAGGCATGGCACAGAAGGAATCCTTTGGTCGTAAAACATCCATCAGAGGCAAAACACGCCGGCACAAATACCAGCCCAACAGCCACCTGCTGGTACGACAAAAATGGAGTGGCTCGATTTGCTTCACAGGCAGAGCCAGATTTGGCTTACACAGCCGGTCGTTGCTTGATCCCCAGGTTTGTGGCATCATTTGCACCGCTGAGATTGGTCAAAATGCGTCGGGCTCAGATGCAATCGTTCGGAGAGCTCATTTTTGTTCTCTTTGCTGCATGCTGCAGGATGAAACCTATGCGATTGGGCCATCTTACAATGGTGAGGCCGTCGAATGGTTCCCTTGTTGCTTGCATTTAGTTTCAAACGTCATGGCCAGGTGTGGCCCTACAAGCAGTACTTTGGGACTGTGTTCAGGTAGGCCAAGTTTTCCTCATGCAAACCAAGTCTCCCATGGCTCTTCTATGTCTGCCCATCGGAAATCTAGAGTGCCAGAGTCGTCCCAGCTTTCCCTGTGCAAGCATGTCAGGTCTATGTTTACTCTGCTGCAGGCTGTGATGCATCTGTCATAATCAAATGGCAGTTGCTGCGTGACATGTAGAGTTTGATGTGTGCTGCTGTTGTCTGGGTGCCAGGTGCTGACGCTGGATGGCTGGTGCGACGACATTGTGCGTCACGTCGTTTATAGGCAGCCAGTCATGGGTGCTACTCGGCTGCCCCTTTCCTATCTTGGGGGTTTTGATGCAATCAGCGCTGGTGCCCCTGACCGTCTAGCTGAAGCTTTGCGCCCAGATGAGAAGCACGGTCTAAATCTGAACAACAACTTGCCTTCAACCACGCAATAACACGTGTACGCGAGAATCCACTGTTTCAGCCGGAGAGATTTTACTCAGTGGAGCATGCTTGAAATGGCAGAAGCTGTGAGGAACTGTCCTTCGCATTAAGGTATTCTTCATCTGCTTCATACTGCTGACCTCCTTTGGTTTGATGCAGATGCCTCATCCCTTTTTCTGTACCGACAGGGTACTGGTTGATCTACTCGAATGTTGCTGAGTGTCCAGGAATGTGGTTGTCGGCATCATTGTGGAAAACACCCTTGCGGCTGCACAGGCACGTGGGTGCTGCGTGGTGAACCTGTATAAGCTGCCCCCAAACCGGTTCAGGTTATCAATCCGTCATGTTGCATGTTACACACGTCAGGGCATGCTTTGATCACGTTGGTGCTTGCGCCGCTGGACACGCCTTTTGCAGGTGGTCGACAAGAGGAAGGAAGAAAAGCTTGCAAGACATCGAAAGGAGACTGTTTCTTGATCTGCGTTTCGCTTTTGCCAAACGGCAAGTGCTTCTTACAAAAGGTGACAGTTACGTCTTGCATCGAACTTTAAGAAAAAGGCACCTTGGCAGTTCTGGAACATCCCACCTTCTTGGGGGCCAATATCGTCGTCGTGCCTTCTGGATACCCCTGCTATTGTCCTCGCAAGGGTGAAAACCCACTGCCAGCTCTCTATGCGCTCACGTCCTTGTCTGAACCCCTTCAGGAATCACAGCTAAGCTTAGACACGACGGCTCCGTTCCGTGTTTAGCTTCCTTCGGTGCCCGCTGTGCGCAGTGTGTTTTTGCACCACCAGAAGGGATTCAAGGGCTTCACGAGTTGAATCAGTCGCGCCATCCGCGTCTCTCGTGGAATTTGTTTGTCCTTGCTGACGATCTTTTTGTGTTCCGGATCTCACCTTCGAGCGCATAGGACAGTAACATATTTCCAGAATGAGTCTAATGAGTCGGTATTGAAAAGGGGCTCTTTCCAGAATGGCCTGTAATTACTAGGTGCGCAGCGGCAATAAGTGCAGGACACGGTCCAGCAGCTGGTTGCAATCTTGTCCAGGCCTGGCTGTGCAGTTGTTCGCCTTGCAGCTTTTGCCATAGAAAGGGGGATCTCTACTCGCCTGTGATTTTTCTGTCTCGCTTGTGACTTGTCTTTGTGACTCGCATGTGACTCTTTTTAAAAGCATGTGGCTGCATTTTCGCTTGTGACCGTTTTTGCGCAACGGAGGTAAAACACTGTAAATGGCAGCATTTTGCTGACTGTTGTCGTTGTTGCTCTTGTTCTCGCCCCACGCTTGTCAGGGAGCAAGTCGAACACGCGCTATTCTCAACCCCCCACCCCACACTTGTCAGGAACCTCACTCTCCCAACCCCCTATCCCGCTGCCCCAAAGTGGAACACTCGCTATTCTCAAACCCCCCCCCCGCCCACCCACCAACACCCACAGACTTTCCACCCCAGAGATCCCCAGAGTTGTCAGGGAGCAAGTGGAACGCACGCTATTCTCAACCTCCCCCCCCCCCCCGCCATCCACCGCCCCCTTCACCCCCCACAGTACTGTCGTTGCTCCAATAAACCACACGCTATTTTCAACCCCCCTTACGCAGCGCCTTTCCGCCACAGTTGTCAGGGAGCAAAGGGGATCACTAGGACACATACTCAGGGCTGACAGGTACGACCCGCTAAGACAAGTCTTATTCGAATTTGGAACCACCTCAGCGCGGATAAATTATTGCAGAAGAGTAGGTAGACCAAGAGCTGACTGGCTTCAAGAAGCAACGAAAGATTCCCTAAGAGCATGCGGAAAGCCACCAATAAACATACCGTCAGATCTCGATCTGACCCTCCTACATCACACTGCAAAGAACCGTCAAGCCACATTCTAAATAGACATGATTAACATAGCAGCCAAACAATCGCCAAAACACATGCTATGTTGAACATCGCTGCACAGAAGAAACTATGCTCTGGCCTGGTGGCAGGTCAGATTCCAAGCGAAGCGGGCTGATCTCGCTTGAGGCAGGTTTCGCTGAGCAGCATGTTCGCAGCGGTTTCAAGTTTTTGCGGTACCTGATGGCAAGTCAAAGTGAAAGCATGCACCGACGCAGTAGCGAAAAAGTGGGACACAAGAATGTCCCAGACCATCCCAGGCAACTTGACAACGTTTAGCACCTGCCTGAACGGAAAAAATATGCCAGCTCCACATGCTCCAAGGTTAGGAACTTGTCCACATACCCTGCCGGCAAAAGCACACACTGGGCACATGAAGTTCTTCCGCCGTTGCTTGCAGGATCTGCGGGCGGCGAACCAGAGTGCATCTTGACTGGAGAATGACCGGGAGCTGTTTAAGGTCTCTTAAATGTCTATGGTCTGGCCGGGCCTTCATGGAGCAGACACAAAAGCGGAGCGTGGCAATTTGTGTGGGAAAAGTTCAGGTAATCGTGCAAAAGAAGTTTGAGTCGATCGGGCTGGAGTTTGAGGAGGCAGGTTTTTTGAAGCTGCAAAGGGACATCAAACAGAGAGCAAGCACTGTTTCACCTGAGCCATTTCTGCTATGGAAGGTGGAGCATGTGTTCACGTTGCTGGACGTGGATCGATCTGGGAAGATCGAGCTTGTGCGCTTTGTCCGATGCCTATCTTCGTCCACTCTCGATGGTACATGAAAGCGTGAGCTCGAAGGGCTTGTACCGAAGGGCGCACTTCCAAGGAGAACGCATGCCGTGAGTGCTGAGCCAAGAGTCTGTGTGCATCTCCAGCGTACTTGTGCGATTGGCCTGCGGTTTCTCACAAAGTTAACACTTGCAGATACTTGCAGTATATTGCGGCGCTGGCCTGACATGAAAAGCGAAGTGAAGCTGTTAGTTAAGACGCGTTAAAAGGGCTCCAGTTTGAGGGCTGTCTCGGGGTTCAGGATATGCGTGATGTGTTCAGGCCCATCTCTGGGGCTATCCTTTTTCGCAGCCTCCGGTGCATTTCGCAGAACCCTTGTTGCAAAGGCTTCTGAGGCCACACAAGACCACCTGTAGCTGGTCTCCTCATCAGACGACACATCCGTGCTGTACTCTAAGGTTGGTAGGAGGAGGCAAACGGCGAGACATCGCCCAAGTGGAGGCTCTAGTCTTGGTGTCCAATTCCGGGGTATCGGCATCAAGGCTCTCTTCTCGTTTCGAGTGATGCCAGTGACAGGTGAACATGGGCACCTTGGCAAATCGCCTAGACAAGCTCGACAACAAGTTCACAGTTATTGAGAGGGAGGTGGATCATCGCTTCCTTGACTGGATGTGGTTGAGAGGTCCTGGCACAAAACCAAATGGCAGCCACCAAGTAGGCTCGCTCCGAAGGTGGCAACGATCGCAGCCATGACAGAGGACTTTGTTCACAACACGGTGCCGATGCATTGCCAGATCCAAGCGCTTTGCTGTCGCAAACCTTGCATCGAACCACCATGCGGAAACAAGTCCTTGATTATTGACAGGTTCGGCATCTGACGGGACATGACCCGACACTTGCCAAGAGGCAAGAGCCTCAGCAGTTGACGTTGTTACTCCAAGAGCTGAAGGCGTGTTGTTTTTGCCCATAGCTGCGTGTTCTGGGCAAGGAGCGACTCGAAAGTCACATCAACCACGTCCAGTGGTGACTTGTGAGGGCTGCTTCCGGGCACTTCAGCTAGCTTTCTGAAGAGCCATTGCAAATTGTAATGCGTTTCACTCCGTGAATGCAGCCGGCCGGACCAAGTCTTTAGCCGAGTGCTCGTGCATTGTCAGCTTTTCATCCCGACTCGACAGCAGAAAGGGCTCCCAGTGAAAGGCTGCATTATATGGGACCCACAGGTGATTCTAAGGGTGTTTTGTAAGACATGCAAGGGCCATCAAGGGCCATCCAACCATTTGGCAGGAGCTGAAAAGCCAGCTGTCTCGAGCCGAAGCTCAGTTGCGACGGCTTTCGCCGCATGCAGTGTCGCTGTCTCAGCAGAGGTCCAGTGGCGCATGCGATGCAACACCCGAATAAGTGGATATCTAGCAGCAACCTCGCCTGTAGGTTTCAACTCCGATCTTACTTGGAGAAGAACCTGCGGGAGCCAAGTCGCTTGCAAGAAAGTCGAGATGGAACCGGGCCATTCCCCACCCAACAAAGACCTCTCTGGCAGCGCGGATGAAGTCGTATCATTCATGATGCATGTTAGCATGGTTTGGACAAGGACGGGTCGTAGAGCCATCAGGATGGCTGCTTTCTTGTGCATTGCAATGTATTGCAGTTCCGGTTTCCGATGTGTGGAAGAAACGTCACAACATGTCACAACCATGTGGCCATGTGAAGCTCACTCAGGTCTGGCTATGCAAGTTCAGGACAGCGTGTTTCTAAAGCGGCACTGGCTTTTGCATGCTCAAATCACATTGTTTCCATTGCCGGAGTGACCTTTGCAGCATCTGAAATGCCAGAGAAACCATCCCTCACAACAGTGCAGTCAGTGCAGCTCAGTGCAGCTCAGTGCAGCTCAGTGCAGCTCAGTGCAGGAGTCCATCGTGCGGATGATCCAATGCCTACTTACCATCTTCAAGGTGGAGGCCATGGCTTTGCACTTGAGAAAATCTTGAGAAGCAGCTTCTTCCTGTGCCAGACGAAGTGAGGTTCCCTCCCTCACGGCAGAAGCATTGCTGAGCGGAGCACGAAAGCTCTTCCGAGACCCGCACAGGCGCCGGATCACGCCTAGCGGCCTACAAATTCAGCGAATCATGAGTCCTTCTTGATTGCAAATTCACAGTTCTATCACAGTCTCAACAGTAACTCTAGGACGTCAGTAGGAGAAGTTAGGAGAAGGAGCCAAGCATGCTGGAGCTTACCCACACCTTCGCACAGAGTTAGTCCGCAATGATTATTCAATAATCGCAATTGTATACGCTCTGCGCGTCTGCCGCGGTTACCGCCTCTGCCCGGCTTGGCCTGCAGAGGGCTTGGTGGGGCGCTGGGTCGACCCCCTGATGTTGTCCATGCCAAGCGCGAGGGGATCAACCCAGATCTCTTTAAGTACTTGTACTCTCCCTTTCGGCGATACCAACTCGCGGCATGTCTTGTTGTTGTGCCAGTTTCACCTCGAAGCTGTGCGGCATGTCGGCCTTCTCTTCGGACGAGGCCTGCCCACAAAACTGTCTTGTTGGCAGACAAGTCTCTTGCACCAACGAGGCAAAGAAATTGGCACCGTTCCTGACGTTCTTGCCTTGATGTGCATTACTGCATGCAAAGCAGCGGGTGTCCTTCTCATATCTGCTTATGGTTTCAATGGCGAAGTGAATTTAGGGTTATTCAGGTCCGGCACACAATTTCGGCGTGTTCGGGAGAAAGAGGCGCCGCCAACACGATTAGCAGGGTGTCTCAAGTTCTCTCGAGCTTCTTTTCCACATCCAATGCAACGAATGCTTTCTTGCTTGAAGGTGAACGAATGCTATGAGGCTTTGCATGGCTGGCTTTCAGCATTCTACACCTACTCGAGCGTGTCTGATCAGGCTCCCAAGAGTTCTTCTGAAAGCTGCACTTGTGCACGTGTCTTGACTTCAGCAGTCTTTTGAGTTGCCACCAGGTTGTCATCACCTTGCAGCAGCTTGAGAAGCAAGAGCGGCAACATCCTCAGTGTGTTTAGGAGCCCGTTTGGGGCAGTGTATGCAGTGTTCGTGTTTGGTTTCGCCCTTCACGTCTCCGACTTCTCCTCGGCTTCTTAGGCTCCTTCGCCGATTGAACAATCAGGCGGTGCAGCTTTGGCAGATGATCCGCTCGCTGCACAAAGGGTGCTTACCATGTGCTGAGCATTCGTTTGGCATGTCGATTGTGTGGGAAATGCCATTGCCAGGCCATGGAATCGTTTCTCGTGCGCCACCTGAAGCTGATGGCAAGAGCTCAGTCAGATGCAGCTTAGCATCGGAGAGAATGAGGCGCCATCGACGGCAGGTTCCAGTATCGTGAGTGGACCGACTCTGAGTTGCTACTGCTGCTGACAAAGCTGCTGTTGCTACCACAGCAGCCAAGGGTGTCCGGAAATGTAACATGATGTCACCAAATTTCCAGGAGCGAATGCTGCGCAAGCGCCGACAACGACTGCATCAGCCGCTTGGAACGGGGTTTGTTGCGGCAGTATTCCGGCTGTGGTTTGCTGCTAGCTAGTCTTTTCTGGCAAATGTGCATGGCAACGAACGTGTGCAAAGCTCAGGTGTCTGCTCGAGCGGCGCAGCCACTGACAAGCAGCATGCTAGCACTTTGCTTTTCTATGAATGCATCTTTCTGAAGCTCAGTCTCAGCATGGTACCGGTTGTTAGGCCCACACAAGCCAGCCATCGCCTCCGCCCGGGTTACGGCGCCGACTCCCAAGTCGACCAGCCGACAGAACCCTCAAAAAGATAGAGTGACAGATAGAGTTTACATTTTGGTTGAACAGGCAAACAGAGACGAAACTTTGGACTTGTGAAGGTCTCCGCTCACTCGATCGCGGCGGGGTTTGCAGGATGGATGGGGATCTGATAGGAAGCATTGCAGCGGAATGGCCTTGTCCTTTTAAAGCGAATTGCTTGGGAGGGCTTTCCTTCGGGACCTACAGCTTTGAGGCCGGCAGATAGAGGAAGCATTGAATAAGTATCTGCTCTATTCGGTTGTTTGACTGTGCAAGGCCTGCCCTGGAAAGATCTCGAGCCCTCTCCTCAGCTTTTCCAAGCATCGCAGCTTCAGAAATGTGAGAAGAAGGCAGAGGCTTCGCAGCGTCTTCGGGGCTTTTTGAAGAGACTAGAGTGTTGTGTGCTGTCGTGTTTTAACTGGTGGACAGACTTGTTCGACCAGACCTGTCCACGAAGAATCGAAGCAAGATGCAGAAGACACTAGGGCCTCCAGGTCGGACCTGGGGTTGCAGGCCCCAAGGCTCGACTTCATCTTGACGGTTGTCACGTACCATTCACTTGGTCCCACCCATTACCTCGAGCCCGCGGTTTCACATCGTCGATCCCTGCAAACACCTGTGCCTCCGGTGTCTCGCCATCATCCACCGCCCTTCCCGCTGTACCAAAGCAGACAGCCCCGGTCCGCTGGCACACTTGGACGCTGCCGCTTGCAAGTCCATGGGCCCGAAAGGGAACTTCAAGACGCTTCTTGACGGGAGGTCTCGGCAAGTAGCCGCCTGCAAGGGCAAAATACGGCAAAGCGAGTGTGTGTTGTGCAAGCATATGCAAGCATGCATGTCAGGGTGCACACAGCCGCTCCCAGTCCCCGGTTCCGGCCTCAGCATGCACCAATGCAGCACAGGGTGCACCGGGATTGTCAGCTAGCCCATGCTGCGGACGGATCTGGAGCACAGGTGCAAGCGACCCGGTCAGCAGGTGCAGCTACACGGCCGCGCCTGCAACTTGGGCGCTCGTTCGACTGCAGCTGCGCTACTGTAGTGATCTGTGTTGCTCTTCGCTGCTCCCCCTGCTTGTAATTGCGACGCACTGCGACAGGCGTTGTCTCCTCCGTGGCCTTCGGCCCAATCGTCACCTGGCATCATCTTTGAGATTTCCTTGTGGAGAAAACCTCATGTTCATGCCAGCACTGTTGAAAAGCGATAGCCTCCCCCCCCCCATACTCATGAGAATCCGGAAGTCCTAAGCTTGGACTAGTTCTTAAAAAGAAAACTACAAATCGATGAAAAACCAGACATGAAAATCTACCCGGCTCACGGAAACGTCGATTCCCTAAGCTTGTCCTACAAATCAATGAAACTCAGGAATCACGCCGGCTCACGGAGACGTCGGGTCCAGTTCTACGCATGTACTACAAACTGCCGAATCGAGCCTTTCACGGAAACGTTGGTTCCAGTACTAAGCCCCTTGCGCCCAATTAACATCTCTTCTTGACTTCTCGAACAAAGCCTGCAATTTGCGGAAAACATTGCAATGTTCAAAGACAGCAGGGGGTGTCGTGCCAGACATAGGAGAAACGGGGCATAGCCAGACCTAAGAAAAGCAACCATCTCCTTGGTCCCTACGTTATTGTCATAAATAATTGCAAGCCCTGACCCCGGGCCCCAAATTTATCGAGTTCGGTGACTGATGTTTTGGTTAGGCAGAATATTAGCTTTGTCGACGCCATCAACTTTTCAACAGCCTAAAGGCCTAGAACCTAGAACTTAAGATTTCAGAGAATGTCAGAAAAGGCCCGAAATTCCGATACTCCAACAATCCCAAAACAGATCTCCTGGTAGGAGCTTCAAGAAAGGCCTGAACCTCCTGAATTTAAGCCCTAAGATGCCCTAAGTATAGCTACGGAGTTGCTCTACTTAATCCCGGCCTAGGTTCTCCCAGCTACACCCCAGCAAAACGCTTCGCGCCACCGAAGGAAAAGGGAAATCAGACCTCACGGCTAAGGGAAGACACTTCCCCATCCCCCCACACTCCATCCGCCCACGTGTGGGAACGAGTGGACGCATGACAAAGTATGGAGTTGCTCATATAAGATCATATAAGCACCTCGTTATTTACAACTGGAGTGTGTTGATTGACTCTCACACTTTCGGTCGCTCCTCTCAGGTCTCCGCACGCTCGAAAGCTGCAGCTCTGGGAGCCGTGGGACTTGCCCTCTGTCTGCAAGAGCAAGACCTAGTACATCCTAGTACTGACCCAATATGCTTTTA